TTACCCACCACATTCTATTATCTCCTGAGAACTTTGCTTTTTTAGCATATCTGATCAACTGAGGAACAACTGGTTAAAATGTGTAAGGAAGAATGGCTTATTTTCCTCTCCAGATGCGATCCTTGGGACTCTCCACCTCGGGTCATGCTCATACGGCATCCATGTTTAAATTTATCTGAGGTACCCCTCTGTGTGGAGATAGTCATGCCAGGACACAGCCTGCCTAGATGAGCTCCTGCCCCCATCAGCTCTCTGTGGAAACACCGCCTGTATGGCTGGACATAGTGTGCCTCCACACTGTCACTGGCCCTTGCCTCTCGTCTTGGAGAGGTACTTACTGGAGAGGAGACTTTGGGGACACTCAACACAGGTTTCTGGAGGCCTAAGACCCACACCTTAGTGTGGGCATGTTTTGAGGTCTGGGAGAATTTGGAAACATTTTATGGTAAGGCTCAATTTTCCTGGGACAGAAGGCCAGCTTTTTGAAGTTAAGGTAATCGCGGGGGATGAAACAGCTGGTCGGTCTGCCATAATCCTGCCGAAAAACTTGAGAGCAAACACCTTTGGATTTGCTCATTTGGGTGCTTTCAGGGAATTCCCAAGAACTGTCACCCTCTTTTGAGAGAGGTTAGGTTCGTGGTGCCACCCTCCCTTCCTCCTCAGGAGCCAGCCTGTGGTTAGGACATCTGGATGCAGGGAGTTTGAACACAGCTCTGCTTTCAGGTCTAAATCCAGTCACCTGTCAAGAGGCTCACTTTGCCTGCTTTGATGAATCCATTTACAGAGTTCTTCATGGTGTGGTCTGGGGGCACAGGGGGCAAGCCTGGAAGGCTCCCTGCAGGATCTCAGGGGTATCGTCTTCCCCAGCTGTGACCCAGCATAAGCACCTCTAAAACCAAAGGAACCACACACAGCATGCCCACATGTACAGACTTCAGGGGGAATGATGACTTCCGGTTTAGCTCAGCGTTTTCTAAATGGACACTTAATAGACTCAGCACCAGGTTCTACCAGGAAGTGCAGAGATCCATGTTCATTCTTCACCCAGATACTAACTGAGGAGCTACCACATGCCAGCCCCGGCTCAGGCTCTGGGTGAACAGCAAGGGGAAAAAAAGATCCTCTACCTACAGTTGAAATGCTATTTCTTAACCACTAAGACCCCTCATCAGATCTGAAGTCTGGGTGCATTCCGTTTTGAGAAACAGCCTCCACTTTAGCTGCCTGATGCATTCTGCTTTCTCCACTAAACCAGCTCAGGAGGAGAGGAACCTGGTCTATAGAACTGGCACTTTTATTTGGGCCATGTTGCCCTCACTGATGTGGGCTGGCGAAATCAGTTTGTTGCCCAAACTAGAAGTCAGAAAGATATCCCTGTGATGGAAATCCAGCCTCTGTGGAGGATCTGTTGCCGAGTGAGGGTCAGGGCTAGCTGGCCAGTGATTCTAGGACCGGTGGGCCCTGGAGGTTGGAATGGCAAAGCAATAACCAGAGCACAACCAGTGAGGACATGCTTCTCCAGGCACTTGAGATCTGTGTGTGTGTGTGTGTGTGTGTGTGTGTGTGTGTGTGTGTGTGTGTGTGTGTGTATACATTAAGTGCAGATACCTGTGGAGGCCAGAAGAAGGTACTGGAGCCCCTGAAGCTAGAATGGTTATAAGCCAGCTAAGGCCAGAACCAAGAACCAAGCTCCAGTCTTCTGCAAGAGCAACAAGTGCTCTTAGCTGCTGAGCCATTTCTTCAGCCCCTCAGGGGTCCCTTAAGGTCAACAAATGACAGGTTAACACTGGCCTTTTCTCTAAGAAGATACAACACTGCATTCAAGTCTGTGTAAGACAAAGGCCGAGGAGGTATGACTCCCAAAGAAGCATCAACTGTACCTAAAGTCATAGAAGGCATTCTAAAGGAAGAGAAGGAAGAGATGTTGGTGAGAGGTGGGAGAGGTGGTGAGGCTGACTGGGAGAAGTGGCCAGGGAGGCTTTGGTGCTGTGAGATCCGGCATGGACAGGAGAAAGGCGTGAGCCAGTAAGTATGGGGAGCAAGTCAGTAAGCAGCACCCTTCCATGGCCTCTGTATCAGCTCCTGCCTCCAGATTCCTGCCCCACTTGAGTCCCTGCCCTCACAGCTTTTGATGATGAACTGTTACATGGAAATGCGCGCGAAGCAAACCCCCTCCTCCCCAAGTTGCTTTGGTCATGGTGTTTCATCACAGCCATAGAAACTCTAAATAACAACTGATAACTTCAGATAATGTGCAGAAGGCTGGATAGAACCGCGGTGAGTCAGTGAGTGAGGAAATGGATGAATGCGGTGGGCTCTGTGGTCACCTGTTCTGGAACAGGACACCTTGGTCTTGGTGAGTGAAAAGACAGACATTGCCAGGTATGGTGTCGTACGTTCGTCCTCCCAGCCCTGAGAGGGAAAGGCACGATGATCACAAACTGAAGGTCAGTTTGGTCTACATAGCAAGACTGTCTCAAAGGCAAAAACAACAGGTCGAAGAGACTTTAGGTGGAAGTTGTCAGGGCAGAGTACTGGGAAGGAAAGGACTATGTGGAAAAATCTACGTACGTGCCTCCTTGAAAATGGGTCTCCTAGTGAGATGTGCACACCAATAGTGTAGCTCTGTAACAGTGGGCATGGAGTGACCAATAGTGTAGCTCTGTAACAGTGGGCATGGAGTGACCAATAGTGTAGCTCTGTAACAGTGGGCATGGAGTGACCAATAGTGTAGCTCTGTAACAGTGGGCATGGAGTGACCAATAGTGTATCTCTGTAACAGTGGGCATGGAGTGACCAAAAGCTCCAAGAGGAGAAAGTCAGAGTTCGTACAGGACAACGACTCATACAGATACCATCCAGCTTGCAAACAGTGATTCCAAACTACCCATGGCTGGGGAATTTGGAATCCTCATTCTAATAAAGCTTTAAACAATCCCTAAAGGGAAAAGTCACATTCAGAAATTACTAATGATCAGGTAAAAACTCTATACTCTCTAAAGAAATACCTAAACGGTCAACAGTAGAACCTTTAAAATATCCACCATTCAATCAAGACAACTAGACTCGCCAAGGAAAAGGAGAATGTGACCCACACCAAGAGAATCCTCAGCTAATAGAAACGCACTTGACAGTGACAGAGCTGATTAGGCGAAGAGGCGGGCACATTGAAAGAAACATAACAATGTGAAATGCACTCAAGAGTTTAAAGGGAAACATGGATGGAATGAAGAAAGACTCGAAGATACAAAATAAGAACCAAATGTAACTTCTAGTTATGGGATTAAAAGTAAAATGGAAACTGCAGGAGAGAAAGAAGTGAAATTGAAAACATATAGCAATGGAAACTATCCAGATGGAGGCCGAGAAGAAAGACTTCAGGAAATAAAAGTGTAAGTGGAGAGAAGGGAGAGTGAATAGATTCTTGACAAAATGATGGCCAAAAGTTTTCCAAATCTGATAATAAGAATGATAAATACCATTGATCCATCTGAGAATTACAGTGGATCCCAACCATCAGAGACAAAACCACATTATGGTATATTGTAATCAAATTACGGGGCTGTGGGTTGATATTGAATTACCGGCTTGGTTGATAGAGTGCTTACTTAGCATGCAGAAAGCCCTGTGCTTAGTTCCCAGTATTAAATAAAACTGGATGTGATGGTAGACACCTCTAAGTCCAACATTTGAGAGGCAGAGGCAGGAGGGTCTCTGAGCTTGAGGCCAGCCTGGTCTACAAAGAGAGTTCCAGGACAGCCAGGGATACAGCCTGAGAAACCCTGTCCGGAAAGACTAAATAAAGCTGGGTGGTGATGGTGCATGCCTTTAATCCCAGCACTTGGGAGGCAGAAGCAGGTGGGTCTCTGTGAGTTTGAGGCCAGCCTGGTCTACAAAAGCAAGTTTCAGGACAGCCAGGGCTACACAGAGAAACCCTGTTGGGGGAGCGGGGCAAAAAAAAAAAAATAACTAAAAATCAGGAATAAAGAAAAATCTTAAATGTAAACTCAAAAAAAAACCACCCTATTATTTTATGTTCTAGAAAGAATAAGAAATATTGCAGACTTTTGACCAAAGTTAGGCCAACTAGAAGCCAATGGAACAATACCTTGAATTCTCATAAAGAAAACAAGAACTCAACCTAACATTCTGTATCCAGTGAAAATGCTCTTTATAAAAGGCAAAGGCATACTAAAGACTTTTCAAAGCAAAACTATAGAGTTTCACTACAAGTAGATCTGTACTGTAAGAAATATTAAAAGGAGTTCTTTAGGCAGGAAGCTTAGATCCACACAAAAAGAGTGAAAAGTGCCAGAGATGGTTAACACAAGGGCCACACAAACGTGAACGTGAAAGTCAGCAATGTAGATAAACGAAATATAGACAGGAATGCTCAGTCCGCAAAAGAAGAGGACAGTGAGGGGCAGACAGGACAATAGGAAAACAAACTGTAGACTATTCTATTTACATATCCTTATAGAAGAGACACCTTTAAGAATAAAAACGAAAATAGTTTCCAAGTAAAAGAATAAGATGCTGAACCATGCAGCACTTATTAGAACTCTGGAATGGCTTAATTACTGCAAAAGAAGACTACAGAGCAAAGGGTATCACTAGAGATAGAGAGACAATCTTATATAGATAGAAAGATATAGGAAGACATAATAAAACTCAATGTTTGCGTATCCACAAACAGAATTTTATAGCACATGAAAGAAAAATGGATGAAATGTAAAGATGAACCAGACACCCAATTATAGCTTTAAAAAAATTCTCAGGAATCAATAGGACATATAGAAAAATAAGAATATAGAAGATGTGACAGCGTGATCATTTGACTTGAGCTAAGACTTACAGAGTCTTCCACTCAACAACAAGACATCCATTTCTTTTCAAGTTTATGTAAGACAGTCACCAAGGTAGGTTATAGTTTGGGGCAGAAAAACACAAAAAAAGACTGCATTTGAGCTGGGGATGGAGCTCAGTGGTAGAGTACTTACCTGGCATGTGTGAGATTCTGGATTCAGTGTCCAGCCCTGCAAAGAAAAAAGGAAAAAGACCACACTTTTTTAAATTGAAAATTAATCACAAGATAATTAAATTAGAAGTAAAACCAGGAAGATATTTAGAAAACACCCAGATATTTGCAAGAAAATGAAGTAAATGTGAGGATAGTTTAGAATTTTTCTTTAGAAATGAATGGAATAAAGATAATTTTTGTCTGTTTTTAGAGACAGAGTCTCACTGTGTATCCCTGGCTGTCCTACATAGACCAGACTGGCCTCGAACTCACAGAGATCCACCTGCCTCTACCTTCTGAGTGCTGGGATTAAAGGTGTGCGCCACCACTGCCCAGCCTAAGACATAAATAATTTTAAAGTGTGAAATTCATTGGTTTTAATTACTCACCATGTTATACAGCAATCATCACGATTTAATTCTAGAACATTTCCAGTATCCACACCTGTTAGCATTTAATTTCTTTTTCCTCTTTCCAGTACCCCCCAGATAGTATTAATCTACCACAGGCAGGTCAATTCCATCCTAATCCCTGTCTATCTATGCTCTAGACCCATTCATTCCCCCAAATGTTCATTTTTGTTTGTTTGTTTGTTTGCAGACAAGGTTTCACTTTGTAGCCCCGACTGGCCTAGAATTTATGTGGACCAGGCTGGCCTTGAACTCATAGAGATCTGCCTGCCTCTGCCTCCCAAATCCTGGGATTACAGGCATGCTCCATCAGTTAGATCCTTCCCCAAAATGTTCATTTGCTGCAACGATTTACTACGTTGTCTACAGCCCTGCCTTCCTGTGTTCTATGAAGACAGATGTGTATGCAGCTCTGCCTATCCGGGCTGCTGGTAATCGCACTCATGGGATTCCTCACCATCCAAGTTAAATATGTGTGTGCTGTTTTCTCTCGCTAATCTGTGCTATTAGTTCACTCCAGTGACCCCCCCCCCAGAGGGCAAAGGGCAAAGGGCAAAGGGGACATTTTTTCCTTTTTCCCTACGATACTAAAACCTACTGGACCACATACTTTAAAATAGTGGATTTTAATCACATGTGAATTACATCTCAAAGAATATAAGAATCTGGTAGAGTCTACGCTGTGTCGCACCCTCATCTGGCCTGATTCAGGTTGACCCTCCCACTATGCAAAATCTCTTTTCTCAGAGCTCAGCCTCAAAGGACATCTGCTTGGTTCTCAGCCGTGGGTCCTGCTTGCTGCTGCCATGGCCTGCAGTGGAGATTGAACTTTGTATTTTAGCAGCCATGCTTATTTTCCTATGGTATTCGCTCTTTAGTGTCTACTGCTAACTTGCTCCATAACCAGGCACGATGAAAAGGACAAAGGATGATGGAAAAGCACTTTGCAACTCCCAGAAAGCATCTCCACACTCTCGTTCTTAAACACTTAAACTGGCCGCACAGTGGCAGGCTCTGAGCTCTGGCCCCAAGTTCTCTGGCTCCAAAAATTAGAGTCTCACTGAGAACAGCTAAATGGACCATCTCTCTGGCCTGTATTTCAGCCATTTTAAAGTGTGCAATTCTGTGGCATTAAGGACATTCACACCGGTTTGCAACCAACACCACCATTTATCTCCAAAACTTTTCATCTTGAAAAACATGAAACTCTGTTCCCACAAACCCATAATTTTCTCCCAACTCCTAGTAGCCACCATTGTACATCCTGTCTCCATGAATTTGAATAAGCTAGATACCTCATATAAGAGGAGCCACATTCCCCTGATTCTTTTCTACCTCTCCTTCTACCTCTCCCTCTCCCTCTCCCTCTCCCTCTCTCTCTCTCTCTCTCTCTCTCTCTCTCTCTCTCTCCACAACTGGGAGTTGAAGGGTCTTGTACCTCCTAGGCAGTAAGTGCTCTACCACTGGACTATATAATGTATCATACATACTATATCATATAATGTTATAATACCATTGGAGTATATGCGTGTATATGTATTTTTTTTCCACCCTCTTTTTACTTCTGCTAAATTGTCCAGACTAGCTTTAAACTTGAGATTCTCCTGCTTTGGCCTTTTGAGCGGCTGTGGTTAGAGACCTGTGCTACCAGGCCTGGCCTGCTTGCCTTTCTTGACAGCAAGGGCTCATATGGCCCTGGAGCTGACCCCTCCGGGAATCTGATGTGATAACCACACCAGGAGCAGGAGCAGGAGAGTCTGCAACACCCACACCCACCCACCCACACACACACACACACACACACAGAGAGAGAGAGAGAGAGAGAGAGAGAGAGAGAGAGAGAGAGTCCCAGACAGAATCAGGACGACTTTCTGCGCCCTAATGACAGCTGGAAATTCTTTCTGCTCTTCTGTGAGTCGAGTGCTACAAACAGGGGACTTTTCAAGCCCAATTCCAAACACAGGAATTCTTCCCTAGTCAGTCTGTCTCCTGGGCCCCACTGAGACAGCTGGCCTTCCCACGCAAGCTGATGCACTCAGCTGTGACTGCCTGTTCCTGGGTCAGCCCGCTCCAGCTCACCCTTGACGGAGAACACCGGCTCCCTGACAGCTTGAGCTCCTTTCAGTTCCAAGTTGCAGAGAGCGTCATGGAGCCTTTTCAAAATGCAGGTTAGCTACTTGCAGCAGTTCCTGCAACCTCGGCTGCCATGATCTTTTTATTTATTGAGCCAGTTCTTTGAGATTCATGACAGGATTTGAGCCTCATAGACATCCTTCTCCTGGCTTTTATGGAGGTGATTAAACAAATTACTTCTTCCAGAGAGAGAGAGAGAAAGAGAGAGAGAGAGAGAGAGAGAGAGAGAGAGAGAGAGAGAGAGAGAGAGAGAGAGAGAGAATCTTCCATTGGATTCGGCATAAAAGCACAGCAAAACTGGAAATGGGGAGACTAGAAAACAGAGGTGGGTCCAGAGGGTCCTGGGATGTCCCATGCCAAATCGGGTGGGGGAAGGCTGAGAGTGAGCCGCATTCTGTGCACCCAGGCGTGAGGACACATGGACCCCTCCTAAGTGATAGAATTTAGCTTTCTTCAAATTTCTGTGTGAGAATACTGTGTGGATAGTCACAGTGGGTTATGTCCTGCTCATCTTTTATAAAAGCTGTGGACCGATGTGTTTTCTTTCTTTCTTTCCAGGAGTTGCAAGGCTTTATAAGCTTCAGAAATCCTCTCCACTAAAGATGATGCTGACAGGAGGGTGAGAAAACCTCTTCCTCTGCAGGAGACCCAGCTAGAGGGCATGGGAAAGAGAGTGAGGGCCATGGCTTGCAGGGGCAGGAGGAAGGTCTAGGGAACAGGAAAGAGAATGCCCACCACAGAGTCTGTAAGAGGGTGACATCCGGGGCTGAAAGTCAGAAGTAAGCAATTGCCCTAGAGGTTCCGAGAACATGCTCCCTGGAGGTAACTGGAAAAAGGCTAAGTGAGCCCCCGCTGCACATCCGAGGTCTCTCTCTTCTGATTCCACCTGGTTGGTAGGAGAAAGATCATAAGAAATGTCAGCGTACCTGCAGACTCGGGGCCACTGAGCCAGGGATTCCTTAATTTTCTGGGTACTGAATCAGGGATTAGAAGCTGTTGCTATCTCCCTTCCTGACTCTGCCTACAGTTTTAGCGACTAGGAAATAATGCTAAATCTGAGAATAAGACCCAATTCAAAAGCAACTGGCTTTAATTAAATATGTGTAGGATGCATACGACGTTAAGAACTATTCTCTGGCAGGGCGGTGGTGGCGCACGCCTTTAATCCCAGCACTCGGGAGACAGAGGCAGGTGGACCTCAGTGAGTTCGAATGCAGCCTGGTCTACAAAGTGAGTTCTAGGACAGCCAAGAGTGTTACACAGAGAAACCCTGTCTCAAAATACCAAAAACCAAACGAAACCACTCCCGGAAAAAAAAAAAAAACTAAAAACAAAAAACAAAAAACCAACCAAACAAACAAAATCCCTCAAAAAAGAACTGTTCTCTGGTTTGCCAGGGCTGTACAACCAGGGAGACGACAAGAGTCAGACGTGCTTGTCACAGGGGATGAAGAAGGAGGGGAGTTGGTTGTTCCTTTGGAAGTCTGCAAGTTTCTTGGAAGGGCTAGGCCTTAAGCAAGATCGGGAAACATATGTAGCACACAAGGAGGAGGCGGCATCCAGTCCACAGCAGACAAAAACGGGTAGACAGAAAACCGGGTATGTGAGGAGCGGCCAGCTCTCAAGTGGGAAGGAGGCGGCTCTGGTCTAGACCCAGGTACTTGTTGCATAGTAGATCCCGAGCCAACAGCTGCTGGCCACAGGGGGTAGGAACTGGGCTGGCGGCAGGGCAAGGCCCTGTCCCTGGCTGGGGAACCACGTGCAGCATGGAGTCCATCTGGGTTCCCGAGAGGGAGACAGGTTGCTATGAAGGGCCCCGTGTCCAAAGACAAGTAGACCGTAAGAGGAAATGCTCAAAGGCTGAGAGAAAGGTCTAGGAGAAAGATGGGAAAGGCTTGAATTTAGATGATAGAATTGGAGTATGTGGGATAAACACACATATACATAAATATATATATATATACACACATATGCATACACACACATATATACATACATACATACACACACACACACACACACACACACACACACACACACACACACACACACACATTGAAGAAGATCATTTGGGTTTCTGGACGCTGATACTAACTTCAGGGGGGCGGGATTTCAGCCTTGTCCGTGGGAAGCTGGGGCCATAACATGGTCAAGCCGTCTCAAGCAGAGACTCGAGTCTGAGACGGTTGGATTCGTTTTTGTGCAGTTCTCCATGGTGTCTGTGCTGAAGCAGCCAAGAGCAGGCAGACATGTGGGTATCTCAGTAGCTAGAGATCTGGGGTTCACAGAAGTAGTGGCAGGAGAGATGACTCTGGATGACGGGAATGGGGGGAGAGAGCGGGGAAGGAGGCCGAGCTGGGCAGAGGGGTGGCTGAAGAGCACGTGGACAAGAAGGAAAGTGGAAATCTGGCAGAGAGAAGCCAGAAGAACCTAAGGAGAGAGTCCCTGTGGTGGTCTTGAGGCCCAGCACCCCAAGGAGGCAGCTGTGAGAACTACTGAGCCACCATGGTGACCAAGGCATGTGGAGTGGGTCTGAGGGAAGAAATAAAGGCAGACGGTGTGCAGGACCCTATGGGAAGTGTGGAACAAAGGGGGAGAAAGGGTGGTGAGCAGAGAGGAACCGGTCTGAGGGACGCCATTCCAGGCTAAGAGAAGGGTCAGCCGTGCTTTGGGTTCTGCTTCTTCTCCAGCATGAATGTGCCTTTGAGTCTCAGCAGAGCCTGAACACGCAGCTTCTGATCCGGGAAGGAGGATGGATACGACGCCATAGCCTGGAAGGGACAGGGGCTGTACTAGGCCAGGTGCTTAGGTTAGTATGCAGAGGATGTGGGGACATCCGCTGCCCTGGCATGAGGGACAGGTGGCACTATGAAGGGACTTTGAGGCGAGTAAGCAGCAATTAGAAAGGGCCTGAGAAAAGACCAGGGGCCCTAGCAAAGAGGGCCGTGAGGAGTTCTGCAGATAGCAGGTGGAGGTTGGGGTTGGCGTTGGGGGAATCTGAAGAGTGAGAATCTCAGGGTCAGTGGCCCAGTGGCTGAATCTGCCACCAACACGGTGCTTAATCTCTCCCTGCAGGGCCAGACAACTGCAGGTGCAGAGAGAATGGAATGGTTGATTTAGGTGGCTCCTTCAGGACGGCCCAGGGAAAGTTAGGGACAGAGGGACTTAGGGAACAGGTCAGGCTGGTGAGGGACACAGAAAAGCTTGAGAGGGGACATGAGAGAAGCACAGAGGGCCACAGAGACTGGTGGCTGTGAATGTCAGAGGCCAGGGCTAAAGGTGAGTGTGGGAGGGAGGTGGAGGCTCCTGGCTTTTAGGGGGGCTGAGTCCAGGGTTGGGTCTGGAGAGATGGGGATGATGCAGGAGGAGCGGCTGAGGCCGGGCTAATGGCTAGACTGTAAATTAGAGAATCAGGTCCTGACAGCCCATGGGAACGGAGTCCAGTGCCTTCTGCGGTGAGACTGCTGTGGAAAGTGCTCCTCACGGGCAGCAGTGCCTACTCTGCCACCAGGGTGCTCGCAGAGGCAGCGGGTGGGTGGGTGCTCTGCCCTCTCTCACTCACCCTATCTCCTGGGCTCCTTGGCTGGGAGGCTAGAGCTCTAGTTTCACATCTTGAGTGAGGCCCTGGGGAGGATGTGAAAGGTGACTCTCGCATGCTGCTCACCACTCCAGCCTACTCCAGCCATGTAACCCTGAGTCCGTTCTCCCGGCTGGTGTGTGTGTGTGTGTGTGTGTGTGTGTGTGTGTGTGTGTGTGTGTGTGTGTGTGTGTGATATCAACCTCTTTCCCCTCCTTACCAGGCTGGCTAGGACACCTCAAACGTCTCCTGCATGCTCCAGAGCCCAGGAACTTAGGCAAGGAAGGGACAGGCCCTTGGCACTTCCTGTCTTGGAAGGAGCCACCAGCACAGTGGGACTTCCGGTTCCTAATTTGTTCGGCTCAGTTTGACTCTTTCTTTCCCTGGTGAGCTTCCTGCGGAGTTGTCTGCTCTTCAGTAGCAGTTTACAGACACGGTGGGGTTTGGAGGGAGCTGGGAGACCTGGGAGAGGGTAGACGCTGCCGCTGCCAGAGGCTGTGCTGGCCCAGCAAGGCCCTGGGCCTGAACCCATGCCCAGCTCTCCGGCCCTCAGCTCTTGTCAGACCAACTCCAGGGAGGTTCCTTTCCAGGCCTCCCAGGACCCTTGGCCTCACACTACTTCCTGCTAAAAACTGCCACAGGCTCCTTCCCTGCAAACCAGAGTCTTCCTTTGTTTACTCTAGCCCCTCAGAACTGGGATTTCTTTGGGCCTGGCTCTCCTTTCCTATTAAGGTCTGGGAAAAAGGGGTTGTGAGGGGGGTGGCAGGCAGGGGCTGCCGAGGCCTGTCCTCCCCGGGTGAGCTGTGGTTCTCTCGTGCTACCAGCCCGGGGACAGCTCTGGCCCTTACGTGTGCCTCCTCCATCTCTATGCACGCCTATCCTTTCCTGTGTCAACTGGCATTTGTCCTCGGTGCGGAGAGAAACCCTCAAGGGCTTGTGCTGAGACCCCGGGCAGAGGGAGATAAATGGAATTTGCAATAAATCCGGGAGCAAAGTCGTAACTTGACTTGAAAACAAACAAAAGGGCCAGAACTGCACTTAAGCTCGGCAGAGGCTCATCTCCCAGTGTAAACAGAAAAGGGCAGCGGGGTTGGGGAGCCTCCAAGGGCCTGGGACAGTACGGCAGGGAGAGACGGGCGGGCGGACTTCCTCCGGAGGAGGAGAGGGCTGGGGCAAGGTTTCTGTGGCCTTGCTGAGGCTGGAGGAAGACAGGCAACTGCTGTTGTCTGCCTCTCTTTTCCCATGACTCTCCTGTTGAGAAAAGCACCCCTAGAATCAGGACTAGAAAGTCTTCAGGAGAAATGCATCTGTGATCTGTTGCTAGGCCCGGACTGGGAGTTCTACCCATCTATACCATGGCTCCTGGGCTAGATACCCAGAGGCTGACTCTATGTCCTACCACAGAGATACCAGCACGCTCGTGTTTATCGATACAGTGCTCACAGTAACAGGGAACTAGAACAAGTCTAGATGACCATCAGCAGATGACTGGATGGTGAACATGTGGTACATACATACGCAGTGGGATTTTATTCAGCTGTAAAGAGAAACCAAATTATGAAACTTGC